TACAACTGTTATTTTGACGTTGGACCCACGTTTTTCATCTCTGTAACACTATCGCCGATGCAACTATAACGTATCTACAGTGATATGAACACTGATTGAAGTAACTGGAGCAAAAAAGTCGATCAATTGTCTAACTGAGCTTGATTTCTTGTAAAAGAATTTATTCCTTTTGTTCTATCGATAACTCATGTTTTTTAGGGATTTTTGGGAGATAGTGAAGAAAGTTGATGTTGATAAAGGAAAAGTTATACTACGGATTCAAGTGATAGGTTCTGATTCGTTTCTAACGTAAGTATGTGTGCCGAGCAGAACATTGCGGGGATTGATTTTGTTCTATTTGTGTGCATACGAGAGCGTATTTTAAACGGGAAAGAATATCGTGAAGGTTCACGCTTTTATAGAAAATAGTCTAATATTTATCGATATTCTATTAAATAATTTAATAGAAAATATTTCTAAAGTGAAACGCTTATAATTTCGTACGGAGAAATTGTAAAATAAATGTTTCATGTATTTCAGGCTTGTTTCTTCTTGAAGTTTATATGTTTCACAAATTGCGAAAATGAAGCGTTAGAAAGAGTCGAAAAATTAATAAAAATATTTGTGACGCAATGAAAATGATTCATCAAATTTTGTAATTGAACATGCAGGACAATTTCGTAGAAACACATTATATAATAAGCGAGTTCAAACAGGGAGGAACGTCGCAAGTTTCCACGTTAACGCTATTACCGTGCTTTCGTATTGCTAAAAGCAAAGACAGTTGAACGTTCGCTCCGGGTAATGAGGTTGCGTTAAATTCGCATTCTCTTCAGTTCATCGTCCCTCTTCTCAACAAAGACGATCATATTCCGGAAAGTCTTTTTTTCATTCTTGATCTACTTATAATAACTTTTCGTATAGATTAACTATGTCTTAATTATACTTTTACAAGAAAAGACGAACATTAAAAATGGATCTCTTTGAAGATAAAACGATATACGATAAAGATTTAAACCCTTAGATTCACTCCGCTATACCATGAAAAGCAAACTAATAAAAACCTGAAAATAGGGTGGCTTTATCTTTCGAACAATGTTATACAAATAAGAGAAACAATTTTAGAACATTTCAATCGCAGAATTATTAAGTAAGTAAGAAACTCCTATTCTCTTACGATAGAAAAGAACAAATACAAAATAATCACTCTCATGGGTAACTAGCTTCTTTCTTAAGAGGAAGTAAGTTTATAGAAACTGGTTTTATAAGAGTCACAGTTTTGGAGGGTGGGAAATCTCTTCAATACACTACTTCTAAAGTATTTTTGCTCCTGAATTTTTTATTCTGTGGACGAGCGTTAATAAAAGGTAATCGTAAGCGAGAATAATTATTTTGATCGATAAAGTCGTTCTTTTTTTACATTCTACACGTTCTTTTGTTATTTTCTCGTCTTTCTTTTTTGGAAGAAACGTTCTAATGTAATTTTATTCTATCGAATTCTTAACCTGAATTTCATTCACGTAAATCCTTTAAACCCTTTGTAGTTTATTGGCACCATTACAGCGACATTGATAATGCGAAGATTGTTTCTTTTATTCTTTTCGCCAATAAAGATAGAATACGGAAGAAGGCTACTGAATAAATGAATTCACAGACATTTATGGTTATTTTTCTTAAATATGTTGACAACACTATGACTCTTATTTACTTCGAAGGAATAATCTCTTACGGCTTTAGAATCAATTCAATCATTCATTTCAAATACTTCATAATTAATAAACTATTTTCCCAAGAACTGCTCAAAATTTTTAATTCTGTTTGCTGAACAGTACGCTTTATATATGAAATCTGAAAGAAGTCGAACGATACAAGAATGTCAAGTTCAGTTCGAAGTAGAATCGCAGATGGCTAATATATTCTTTGACATTTCACCCGACCACTGAAGATAGCAACGTAAACGGAATTTCCACGCATCAAAACAAACTTCATTCCCACCGAACGCTCTCTCTACCTCATGGCACGAATCCTGATAGTTCAGATTTCCCGCGACAAACATGCGACAACGTTAAAGATCTTCGTACAAAGGGTTAAACTGCGTTTAGGGTTAAGCCAGGCGAGCATCGTTCGGAAATCTCGAGGCCATAGATCCGATTCAACGATGGCTAATCGTATTCGATGCGCAGGCCGCAGCGTTTGCGCAGCCGAGTGATCGGATATCTTCGGTTTGTCGCGGGCCACCGGCGAAATTGACCGTGTAATCATCCGATATCGACGCTTTGTCGAGCTTGCTGACCGTGTGCCATGGATATTTATATACGTACGATCCGCGAGCACCGTTTATCTCGAGCGTATTTTATGCCTGTTCCCGCGCACAAAGGCCGCTCGATAACCGTTTTCCAACGACGATCACTCCGTTCTTCCCATTCGATGACCGTGCACTCTGGGCTAAGCTTTTTGTCCTCGCGAAGGAATCTCTCCGTAGTTTTACGCCGATCGGATCGATACTCCGCAGAATACGCGACGAAACGAGTTCTTCCATTTATGGATTCGCGAGAAAGTGCGAGTTAAAACGGAAAACCGAGGGTGTTCGAAGTTTTTAAGGGATGAAAAAGAGATTGACGCTGCTGTAGTATCGTGCAGTCTTTTGTGATGTTGATGGATATGTGTTCGTGTGTTCAGGAAAGGTTCTGATAGCGGTGTAATGTTTAAACTGTTACGAGAGAGTGTATTGAAATTCCAATGCAGATGTTGAAGGATTTTTCAGACGTGGTGAAGATAGAATGATGGTACATATAAGTATATGTACTTTTCTTTCTTTCTGAAGGTTTCAAAGGTGATGAAGATATTCGTAATATGTTGGAGAGAACCTGTCAGCAATATTATATTTTAAGAGTTTTGAGAAAGATGCAATGGAATTTCAACAAGGATGCCAAAATTTCGTTTGAGCATGATAAGGATCCAATGATGATCTATATATCTTCTTTTTTCTCCGAAGATTTCACAGTTATAATGTTTATCGAAAGAAAGCAAAAGTTAATTCTCTATATGTCATTTATGAATAATTATAACGATTTTATTGGTGATAAACTTTGTCAAAGAATTTTATCCTATAAAATCCTAAAACCTAACCCATTTTAGGGTCCTCATACAGATTAGTGCAAATAACAATCGATATAATTGCACTAACATTCTACTGTATTGAATTCTTCAAATCTTTTGTTATATTCTCATACGTGAATAAATACAAACGTCACTTAACAAAATCTGTTTTTAAATTTTTACCGAAGCATACGTAACGAAGAAAATACCCAAAGAATTTCGGCTTACATTCCTTTTTCGAGTTTTACACAGTTACGTATTACGTAATTACAATTCGAATATTGCTATTTGTCCCTCAACATCATCTACTTCTTTCGTAAAATGTTTATAAACGTCCATGATCACGTTCTGTCACAATATACAACTTCGTTGATATATTTTTTCTTCCTTTACTTTCAACGAGTAAATCGTGGGAAAATTGCTTTAACTCGATTACATAGTTAGAGTTAACGATTTCTTTAAACCCTACGCGGCTGAGTGTTGCTAGATTGACCAGAAGCCCTATGATCTAAGTAACGTGGTACTCTAACTACCAAGGCGCTTAAAACCACCCAAGTGTCCCATTAACGACGTTTGTTTTGGCTCGACTAAATCCTGACCATTACCTGTGGTTTATTACGCTATTAGTCGTAACAACAGAAATACATGATCTTTGATATGTAACCAGTAAAATATGACTCTTATTACGCGGTATCATAAATTCTCGGAGCTGTTTTCGAAAGACGTATGCTAATCTCGCCGTGTCCGAAACTAACCCTTTGAGATGTATTTTTCAAGAAAATTATAGGAATGTTACATTCAATGGAGATTTGTGATGATTTTGGGGTTTGAAATTTAGAAATTATTGTTAGTCGATACGAGTATTTTATTTTGCTAGCGATAAAAATTCTGTGTAAACGTTTGTTTAAGTAGAAATGTCTTTAATATTTTGAAATTTGTATGTAGTAGAGATTGGAGAATAAAGTATCTTTAAATTTGTATATACACACGTGTCAGATTTTTAACCAGCGATTAATTCAGTAGTAGCATTTTAACAGTTTTTAACACTTTTAACAGCATTATACAGAAATTATGTTTCCTTCTATATTGCAAGTATTAATTTCGAATATGATTCAATTAACTAATAAACTTTTGGAGTTGTCTGTTGTTTGCTCGTTCAGATTTTCCAATTTTCCAAATAGCTTCCGTCAACGGAAAGTGGTGATACCATAGATTTATATACATAGAGTCTTGATAAATTGGATAGAGAAAAGAACCAGTCAGTCAGATTGCTGAAATGGGATTCGAACCCCAATTTTTCGTTTGGCAGGCTACTCGAAGCGATTGACCTATTTGACCTATCGATAAATTCTTTCTCCCTAAATAGAACATTCGAAATGTTTACTTCCTGTCGAATTAATCTTTAGAGATTAATCATGATACAACAAACATCCAATATTACGTCCCTCCGTACACGATGCTTCCACATTTAATAAAGTTCGATATTGCATATCGACAATAGTACTTTCTCAGAGTTCAGGAGTGCTTGGTCCTGAAATAATTAAATATAGGAGCATTTTCGTACGTGTTTAGTACTGTGACTACTTTCGTTAGAACTACGAAACCCGAATTAACACACACTTTTAACAAACCCAGTTCCAACACCACCGAAATTCCAAAATATTCTCTCAGAAGTACACTCAACAACTGAACTTACACCAAACAAGCCGAAACATTCTCAACGCCACAAGCAACTCCACATCCATAAAATCTCGAGATATCTAGCTTAGTTCAAGCATGAAATTTCTAACCTACTTCCCACTTCTCCTCGACCAATTGCAACTAATAGTTTTGCTCTCTACAAGATTGTAAGGCACGTAAGAACGAAAATGGAAAACGCAGAAACAAATGACCTTTTAGATCTTACAGATCTTCACGCTTACCCATGAGTGTAGTATGTGTTAGGTATCTCATCCAGGCTTTCTCTGCTGATGTCGTCGGCCATGGCGACTTTCAGCTGATGCCCGAAGCTTGCTAGGTCTTCCCTGAAAGCCTCGCTACCGGGCGTAAGGGCGCCGCTCGTCAGTGGTAAAGGTGTCGCGTTACTTCCTTCACCCTCTCCGCCGTCCTCGCCCTCCTCGCCACCCACGAGGACCACCTCCTCTTCGTTGTAGATCTTGAAGTAGGCGATGGTGAGGTATATCACCGAGATTATGAAAGACGGTATCGGAATCGCCATCGCGTACACCAGATTCATGTAAACCTGCGGGGAATACGTCACGCGAGCAACCTCACTGGATGGTTCAACGTCCACTTCCGCTTTCGTGCGGCATATCAAAGAATAGCTCGTACGCACTGAACCGGTTAGGGGAGTTTAGTGGAAAGGATTTATGCGAAGAATTTATCGAATGGAATGTTTCAGTTTGATGAAAGCAGTTGTCTCAACTTGTCGGAATAAATATAAAGTATTACGGAACAAGTATCTTTTAAATTATAAGAAATTTTCATTCAATTTCTTGGGAGATATAGAAAAGTGTGAGCCAAGCAACTATAATGTAAAGAAATGATCTAAAACTCAGAGGAGAATAATAACTATGGAGTAGTAATTTCCTACTTAGTAATCAATAAAAGAAAGATCTAAAATATCCAAATGTAAAATTTCCTCCAAAATCTCGATCTTACTATCGATACATAGACACATGTCCATAAAATGTCCTCTAAGACCTGTATTAAGAGAAAACAGCTAATAAAAAACTATTTCATCAAGAACACATTTTATCTCCGTCCGATACCAAAATTCGCGTCTTTACATTTTCATTCAATAAATTTCCTCGGTGGCGTCAAACGATCCAATGTCTGAACGCATCTCGAGGGCGCCGTTAATTTACGAAATTGACACACGTAGCGTGGTAGGAGTGGCAAGCTTTTCCACCGGTAAATCCACGATGTTATCGTCGCTTTATAATGGTCAGGGCGTTCGTTCTATCTCTCTCGGTCTCCCTTCTTGCCCATTTTCATCCTTTCTCGCTCATGTGGATTCAATTCTACCGCAGCTGAAGAGCGGACGAGCGAGAAATTTTCTTTTCTTCCGGACAGTGCGGCACGAGTTTCATCGAGTACGATGGTTTCCGTCTTTGTCGTCGGGCCGGGTATTCAGCCCGCTTGAAATGCATTGTTCGTCACCGTACAGGCGGCTACGTTTCCGTAAACGTAACGGAATTTTACTGTGCCTCGCGCCGGAATATCGTTTTCCACGCCGAGATACCGTTGGATCGCTCTTTCCAACTCGCGACGCTTGTTTCTTTTTAAATCCTCTTTCGGAATTTTCCATCGACGCGCCACCAGTAATTTACGCGAATTAAGTAAAGTATGCGGAATATTTCCAGATTTATGGAAACTTTTATTTGAGATAAAAGTGAAAAATAATAATTTCGAATAATGTATCTTTTTGACTTTATTATTGACTATTTTATTATTTTCATTTTATTTTATTTTATTTTATTTTATTTTATATTATTTCATTTTAATTATTTATAATAAAATTCTGTGTTGAGACCAAATAAATCATTTTCACACAGTTTTCTATTTTGGCTAATTTTTTCACGTAATTATTTCAAAGTAACTTGTAGCCGAATAAAACGATGTATTATTTGAATAATCATGGGTAAAACATTTTATTCAAGTACTAATATCGAAGCCCAATTTCTTTCAGGCGGATCGATGACTATTGCGATTTAATATATAAAATAATAAATTAAATGAATTTGTTTTGTTCCTTCTATAATCCGTTTGTGAATAACTGTATTCATTCTCGTATTATCCTCTTATACTGCAAACTCTGCAATTTATTGTGTTTCATAAGAATGCTTTATTTCTACATTCTACTTTTCAAATATTCCAAAAATCCAATTTGATACTCACGAACTGTTCACTAAAAGTATCTCATAATCAACGGATCGTTGAGACAAGCCATTTTACGCTCTCTCGTAGATAAAATTCCATTACACAATTACATTCTTTTTGTTCGTCCAGATACTTTTTAATTTTGTCTTTCCTGATAATAAGTGAAGAGGGAAATTTAAACGCGCACAATCGCCTTTCTTCTTCGTAACTCTTTCTCCCCATTGATGCAACCAATGCAATCGGCATCAATTACTCTAGCTCGCTGCTCCGTGTCTTTGTGTCCAAATTAAAACAGATACCGATCTCCGTTAATAATGAGCGTCGTTACGTATTTAACCATTTACTGGGGAGACGTTGTTCGCTGCATAATGCACTATGCCCTCAATAAGCACCTGCAGTATCGATTCACGGTCCGACGTTCCTGTCTACGGTAAACTCGCACGAAAATCACACACATAAAGACTACTGTCGCGTGACTTGTACGTACAAGCACCGGGTGTAAATCGGCGACGTCTAGAACGCGGTAACCGGGTTACACCTCGAAGCAAACGACACGTCACTGCGACGAGATACGATTCTTATCCCTTTCGATTATCGTAATATTGATTCAGTTCGTAAAGATCAATTCCTCTATTTGCAATCCTGTCTGGAACGAGCATCAACAGTTCACGTTTCGACAATCAACGTGATACTTACTGTCGAATGATTCATATGGTAAATAATATCGTGAAGCTGATTTTTCAGTACCATTTGTTCTTCTGCTTAGTCTTACATCGTGATGAAATGGATATTGAATTCACTTCTCAATGATTAGCGTGGCATTTGATGTCGAACTCTTGACATAGTAAACAGTATTATCACATTTTTCGTTTTGGGAAATTGATTCGATTCTCTTGTTTGTATTATTTATAATGAATTTTTTAAATATAATTTTCGATCTTTTTGTAGGTTACGATTGTACTTGACGTACTTGACTCTGCTTTTGTAAGCTGCTCGATAATTAAAAAACAAATATTTAATTTTTTGTTAGTTATAATAAATATTTTTGAATTTTCTTCATGCAGATACAAATAAATATATTGCAGGTTCGAAGGATATCAAGTAACATGATCAAGATGAACGGTAAAATGTCTGATCATGAGCGACAGATTCTATGATACTTGCTATACTTCTCACTTCATTTTAACGTTGCCGACATATTTTATAATTAATTTAATTTATATCAAGGTTTTGTTGCTCACTCCAATATTTGAATATGACTTTCGATTTGTAGTTTAAATTTGTGTTAGCATTTCTCTTGTTATCTCAATATCGTTATATTCATGTTCTCTGCAATATCCATATCATATATAAATATCCTTTTTCCTGCTTATCTAAATAAGATCAAGATTCAGGAAGAATTATTACTATCTATACCAATTGGACAGATGCACATAAATGTGAATCAATAATAATATCCATTTCTTTTTTACACAGAACAATAAACTTAAACGATAGAAAAATTCCTGAGGTGTAGCACATAACAAACGTAGAATACAAAATCAACTGAATTATATGCATAGAAACCAGATACGTTGCATACGTAAGTGCAACAATGTTTCGCCCAGATCAGTGTTTTGCATAGTACGAGACAAATTTGAAGTAAATACGTACATGCAGTCTATAATATAAGATCGTACATATATTATCTCTCTGCGGGAATTAATTTTTTTTATGAAACGTTTTACATAGATAAAAGGTACATGTAAAGAAATGATTTTCGCAGGTATCGAATCCACAATCTTATGTCGTAGGCTGTATATAGGATATGGCAACACGTATGATACAACTGGACAGAAGGTTATTTCACATGCAAAATTAAGTCAAAGATCTAGGATAATTTTTCATTTGAAACTTTATTTTCAAAAGAAAAGTCGAGTACTCGTCGAGTACATATCAATTCAACTAATTTTCAATTGGAGACAGGTGCACAATCGATAATAGGTTATTATATTCGCGAAGATAAAATAACAAATGAAGAATAAAATCATAGCACTGACAAAAAGGTATCAACTGCGCCTGTATAGGATAAATTATTAGTTAAATATATTCAAATTCAAATTTTTAGAAATTTTATTCCACATTTTTAAGTTATTTACACGTACCCCCTTGTATCATTTCAGGAATTATTCAAATTTACATATATCTCATACTTGATAAATCTTCCAACTCAATTTTCCTACAAACCTCAATACCCAAATGAAAAAGTTGTATTTCAAATTTTCGATTTATTTTTGTATACACATAGAATAATCTTCAATCTAATTGTACCATATTGCCATGGCCTGTATACACACATAGAATAATAGAAAATCATAGAAAGACCTGCCACATGTCGAGTTCGCTGATGACTATCCCGGGATCCACTTTCGAGTAGTAACAGCTAAAGTTCTGCCCTATGTTGGCGTACTGCCGGTAGAAAATACTGCAATTCAGCATTGGAGGGTATCCACAGCCTTTTACGTTGGGAAACAGCTTGGCCCCGGTGAAGTACCACTCGGAGTCGTTGCCCATGAGCCCTGCGAACTTCGCCTCGTTATCATCCTAGTCGTCTCGTCCGACCGTCGACAGACATTTCCATCAATGAGAGGGTGAAAGTGGACATTGTTAGTAGAAAGTGTTTCTCTAGCGACAATATGGTCATTGACGTTCGAGAATTCGAGAGTTTGTAGGTTCAAACGATAATGAATTTTGCTATTTCGTTAGTGGAACGTGTTGCACGATGGTTGTTAGGTTTTCATGGTTACAGTACTTGACCCTTTATTTTCCGCGGTCTTTCGTGACACTCCTCCGCGGGGTGGATCATTTCTGACATTTAGGAAGTAGGTCGAATTTCTACTGTCATGCGGAATTGTTTTATTACTCTTAAGTATGTTTTTGTAAGTTGGTTTTGTACCGTGTATATATGTATTTTGAAATACATCTGTTCGGTGATTTGGTGTATTAAAAGTATATATCTACGTTAATCCAGATACAGAGAAGTTAAATTTCGATCATTTTTATGAAGATGTATTGCCATATAAAGATTACCATATACAATCTTAAAAACCATATTGGCATTTAGAGCGATATAAAATTCCCTTCTAATATACATGAAATAGATTTTCAACAATTTCTTTCTAATCACGAAACTGAATACTGCGTTAAGATGTTCTCATATAGCAGTCCCTTATGTCGACAGGTTGAAATAAACTGAGGAAAATGATAGACCAAACTTCCTTCTACGTTTATCGTTCCATTTTATTATAGAAACTAATGAAACTCTCTTGTAATCGCGTTTTAAACATTCAACGCATTGAATCACGCTTCTACCGTACGGTACATTTTCCTATTACCTTCGTGCTATATGAAATTTCCCCTCTTCCAATATTACTATTAAACTGATCATGTCAGAATTATCACACATATATTTTAGTGTTAAATTAGATCATCCACATCACATTAATAATAAATATGTAGATGAAAACGGCACAGTACGTTGCCCTGTACCTGTAGGAAAGGGTTTCGGCAGTCCTGCTTCGTCGTCTTCGGCGAAGTCGTCGTCAAGGTCCTCGATATAATCGTACTCCCTCAGGGAGCGTTCGTAACGCGGTTTTCCCATCATCGTGCTGTCTTCGTCGTCCTCGACACCTCCTACCGCCCCGCCTCCCTCACCCTGTCCATCGCTATCCTCGGACGTATTAGTCGGTAGCTTGTAGTTAACACGTATTTGCGTGCAATCGTACAGCTCTTTGGTGCAACCCTCTCTACAGGATGTCCATGAGCAGTTGCTCGTACCTGGACTCAACGGATCGATCATGGACTTTCATCGATTGAAGACACGAATTTTACGGGGGCCAGACACGAAGAAACGAACTATTTTAACAGCAAAGAGTGGTGCACGCCGAAAAAGTAATTCGATGCAACTTAGAAGTTTTAGAATCGAGGCTTCTGGGTGTGAGCCGTATTCTTAAGGAAGATTTTTGAGGTTTAATCAGTGTTGCAGTTACCATCATTAAGGGGCTATTGATGTACCGCAGATGTTTACGCATTTATGGGAACTTTAAATCTACATGATTATAAAAAATAAAAAAATAAATAAATAAATAAAAAATAAGAAAATAAAATACCGTACTCCTGCCTCAAAGTTTGGAGCATAGTAGGACTTCTAAAAAAAAATAACTTGTTCAAGTGAATAAAAATTCTATTCATAATATCGTTAATTTGTAGTATTGAAGTCGTAATTGATAACGTTTTTATTTCTCAGAAAAATTTGTTTCGGAAGGAAGCATTTGTTTCGTCTGAAACTAACTGTAATACTGTGAAACGTATCTTACTCGAGAACATGGCTCACACCCAGAAGTAACGATTCGAAAAATTCTGTAATACCGGGATGTAAAAACCTTAGATCTCTGATTGATGCAACTTATGTGTATCCGTGCAGTAAGTGAAATCGAAGACCGAAGAATTTAACATGTGAATCGAAAAACTTGAGGAAGTGTTCATTTTTGAGGTAATAAATATTTGAGAACTGGGTAAGTATATATGAATCGTAGTACTGTGTGTAGTTTGCTGTTACTTTCGTTTTGGAGGATTTTGATAATTCTAGCTGGTTTGATAGATCTGTATATTAATCTATATCGTTTGAACGTATGAATTTATTGTATAAATTAAAAGATTGAAGATAACTATGCAGATTTATTACATTTAATTACGAAAGGCTCTATGTAGCACAAAATTTAGTTACATATTTGGTACTATTGAATATAGATATACGTAAATTATATTTATTCTGAGAAACTGGAAGTTTGAATACCTCGATCTAGCTATAAATTGGTATTACGTAACAACATAATTAAAATAAAAAGGAAAGTACAAGTTACTACGTTATATGTATATATATAATATATATTATAAATATAAATAAAAATCTATTTTATATTATATTATTATATGTATATAACATATAATATACTATAAGTTACTAAGTACAAGTTATTACTTTAATACTTAGTTTAAAAATTTGTATCAATCAAAACATTAATTTAAAGATACTAAATATCTAGCACCAGCAAATTGAAACTCAAATACCAAGGAAACACTTTTCATTTATGAGAAAAACAAAAACAGCAAACTACTTTTAGAACTTAGATATTCTTAGATAAAAAGCATTGGATAAGTAATGGAACATACACAATTTTTCGACGTGCATAGTGTCATACGAAGATATATCAAGGAATAAACGAAGACAATGATAGTTGAAAGACACACATGGCATCATTATCTCAAAAACTAATCAAGTTTCGTATCAATCGTATGAAGGAGAATCAATAGACAAGATGGAAACAGGCGAAGTTGACCAGGGAGGAAAAATGCACGGTGACTTCCTCGAGATTCTCGAGTACAAGAAAATTGTAGTAAAGTTCTCAACTTAGTCCCTGAGGCAGGTTACGAAATCCTTGCCCTGACCTCGTCTTCCTCCTCGAAACTTTCGGAGAGAAAAGCTTCAGCAATGATGTAGTTGACATACCGGGTCACACTTTTGGATAACGCCCAACGTCCGGAGATTCCAACTTAAAAAGCACGTCGTTACAATTTTAATTCTTTTAAGACGAGTTTCAGTTCGAAACAGATGCGAGGAATGTAAACATCCTGGATTTTAGTTATTGACTGTTGACAAGTTTTGATTAGTAAAATATAATTAAAAGCTTATTTTGTAAAATAATTTTACTGTAAAACGATAAATAAAAATTCAATGCAATATTTTTAGATTCTGTATACAATAGGACTAAGTTGTAATTGGAATATCAAACGAATTTTCAAGTTATCAAAATTAAATAGTCCGGTCGTTTGTGGAATATAACGATGCAAAGTTATTTGCGAGGTCGCGTCATGCAGAAATTTTAATTGTAACAACATGGAGCCGCAACAACGTCGGTGGTAATTCGTATTGTTAATTAACCGCAGTTGCAAGGCTGTTGTCGTATAGGGATGAATATAATTTAACTTCGTGCATTTTCTTCCCTGTACAAATTTGCCACCGAGTTCGTGTTCTCGCTGAAATCCTATTACGACACATCAGCTACGCGTAATAATCTTAGCAGTACTTGTCGCTGACACTTGTTCAATTGCATATGAAGTATTTGTGTTGAATGAACAATGTTATCACTAAGTGACAAATATTTTGAGAATTAAGTTCCTCTGAAGTGACATTTAATCAATCAGTGAAATTATGTGTTCTATAGAAAATTAGAATGAAATATTCAAATATTAAAATACCAAAGAATATAGCAAAGTGTAATAATAATTAAGTTTTATACAGGAAATAATTTAAATTTTTAGTTATAATTTCATTTTAATTTAAATTTCAAATAGTCGTAAATTTTAAATGGAAATTGTTTTGTTTGAAACATGGATTCGTTTCAGCAATTTTCATGATAAATTAAGATAAATGCTTCTGAGAAATGTGCATTCAAGGGATTTGCATATATGCACAGATACATTTATAACTATATAAAATTTATACCAGAGATAATACAAAAAAGCAGATTATATAATGCAGTCAAAGTTCATATAACACGAACATAACTAGTAGAAATCTACGAGAAGTCTGAAAATACATTGAAAACATCTACAGAGAGAGAGGATGGAAACCACGACAATTAATAGAATATCAAATACCAACAGTAACCAACATGATGACATATTCCAGAGAAACGAGACACATTCATATATAAATATCGCCAATCTTGCGACAACTGAAAGTTGCATTTGGTGTATGTATGTATATTTAGACTACATGCAATACATGAAATCTGAGCTTAAGTAAATTTGTTTAACGCAATAAAGAGTCGAAAACTTTAATCTATAGTTATATTTATATTTATTATTATATAGATTATTAGATAGATATATTTATTATTATATTTCACATTTCGCAATTGAATTAAATTATTCCACATACAAAGGAGAGCATCATTTTAATCACGATTTTAGGCAGTATTTCTTTTATAAATATATCATAACCGACTTCCATTCGATTTCCAAATTTAAAAATCGCGTTTTTTCGTTTTGTAGTTATTTAATAAAATTAAAAAATTTGTTCTTTACTTATTATTATTGTTTACAGAAAATAAGAATATTACTAAGAATTATAGAAAAGGACAAATGGGATTACAAGAACAATTTAAAGAATCCTATTCTGGAATCCTTAACCCACCCACCTATAATTTTTCTCTTCTGTTAATTGAAACGCAACAGCTAAGGCTCCTTACGTAATTCAACTAATGTTGTCAGAAAAATGTTATAAAACATAAATAAAAAATTACTAATCCCAAAAAGGATTCTATTGCATAACTGTAACAAATTTGATATTAAAATTAGGAATATTTCAAATATACGAATTATAACTGATTTTTCTATTTAACATAAAACTATAAAATTGTAAGACTGTAAGAACTATGAGCAACGAAAGTCTATAACCTACAACATACAACTCATTAATTCACTAATAGTTTTAATAAATTATATTGTGTAAGAATCTTGAAAAACAGAATTACGATTGGGTAGACATTATAATAATATTTGTAATAATTCTTCAAATGCCTTTCTTTCAGCCCCTCAACGGCGTCGCGTCGAAAACGAACAACCGCCGAGGGGAGAGATTTCGTTCTTTTGAGTGAAGTGAGTACAGGCTTTCCTGGTCGCCCTCTAATTAACGTCTAGACGTACCGCTGCAGAATTAAGCAAGGATGGAGTCCGCCGTGGATATCGATGCAAACGATCGCGACAAGAAATGAGGTAACAGATTGGACGCGCCGAGTCACCTAGAACTTTGGTAAACGACGACGTTATCGATATATCGGCGTAATAACGCCGCTAAAGAGGTACTAGACGGAGACGAGGCTAAGATCGACGCAACTGGTGTCTTTGTATTCACAGCATTCAAGTCGGTCTTGAGCAATCCGAACATGTGTCCGCCCCTATGCCTACACTCTGTGTATTCCCTCTTTCGTCACCCTTCCGCTTACACTTTAGGTCTTCTGTCGAATGCCAGCGGCCGTAGGCGGATGGTATTCTCCAACGATCGAATGCTTCGACGTTTGCTTCTTCATGCATATATGTGTACACACGTTATGTGACATATGAATTATATGGATTATGTATAGCTGCAGGGAAAACAAAAAATTTTTCCTTTAATAGTAGTCATTTCACAGATTACGTAATTTAGTTTCTATTGTAGAAACAGAATGTGTATTTTTTAATATATAAATATTTAAAAAAGTACCTACTCGTATTTGGTTTAGAAAATTCTCCAGACTAATGTTATCAGGCTTCTTTTGTTTTCCTTTAAGCAATATATTATTGATATTTCCTAAGACGAATGTATTCGATAGACCGATTAGAAATTCAATTAAAATAGAATTTACTGATTATTTTTTAGGTATTGTCATATTTTAATTCTTATGTTACTATCTATTACTATTGTAATCGTAATGTTACTATCACTAGCCGAGATTCATTAACATTTTCAACAAATTTCACGTATATATTTATCCAAAGACTAACTGTATCGTATTCAAAAATTATCAGATAGGTAAGAACTAATGTTTCCCTAAACCTTGTGTTAGGTGAGTGGTATAATATAACAACAATTGATCGTATATTCTACAACGATAAAATATTAAAAGCGTCAAGACAGTTGTGCGTTTCCAATGGCCATCGGTAGCATTGTTCGTAAATATCCAACGAATTATTTACAGAAACGTCGAAACTTTCATGTTATTGGAACATTCCTATTCTTTCGTGACAAAACGAATTTCCCTGTACGGAAAATCAACGATTTTCGCCTGACAACTGATCACAAATATAACTCCTCGTCTATAACTGCCAAAATCGATACGTATAGTTACAAAAATATTGTCTAGAAGAATTATGATTGTCACTATCACCTTGCATGGTTTTTTATCGTATTCGAGAAATTGATTGACGTTGAACGTGCAACTGACCGTCCAATGACAACCGCTACAAGCGTTTCACAGTTCAGAAAGCTACCCCATCCTATCAACCCTTCCTGTCTCTCGTTTTAACCCTTCTGTTTAAATCTTGTTTCCATGAAAATCAACACCACAATGTCTGCCGGAAATATCTATGGAAACTAGGCCTTCGAGGTGGTCGAATTTATATGGGGTCGCGAAAAACGTCGATACCTTTTTACGTTCTCCCTTACTCTACTTAAATAATATTAATGCTCGTCGTTATTGTTCTTCATTACCATACGACATGCGATCGTAATTTATCGATAGTTCCCATTTCACGATCATTTATTATTGTATAAAACATATTTACATGAAACTCTCATCGGGTGAATTCTTCTTTTTTTTTTAATATATATGTATACTCTTCGTTATTATTTGTTCTTTTTTTAAAATCAGGTAGGCGGTGTAACGATGTAAATCAATAAGTTACCATGATGGGTATAAAGGCATATTAAAGCGACACGAGTTTGTAAATGGTTATAAAAGTAATATCTAAATGTGGTGTACGAGATATCAAACGTTCGCAATCGAAATGAGTAATCGTTCTTCAGCAGAACTATCGATAAATATCTCGTTACATAAATAGCGCTACGATAACCATTTGTCAATATGCATAAATAGTTATCGTAGAAGAAATGTTATATTTCTGGAGATACCTATTTTATATTCTATATCTGTACATTTTTATGGGAGAGAAGAAAGAAAGTTCAACTTTATGAGATTTTTTTGTTTCTCGAAAAACATGAGAGGAGTTCTCGGGAAATATTACAGTATATCTCTGTGGGTTTTTACGTTCCAAATATGTACATATTCGCATGAATCAATTGTTTCGGGAGATTCGGTTGCGTACTATTTAACTATTACAGGAGATTCACGTTTATTCATGATACCTTCCAGTGGCATGTGTAGACACTGCGCCATCGGAAAAATGTGGGAAAATATGTTGAAAAAATCTAGTATAGTAAGTAAATTCATTGAATCTCTGAATTATTCTTCAAATGGACAGAAATTATGGAAATTTATTTGCAGTGAAAAATTTTGAGTACTGAAAATTAGATACTTCGATAAATATCAAGAAACAGATATAATCGATAATAAAATTTTGAATAAAATAAAAACTGTCCCATTTTATATTTTAATTCTCATAAAATGAGACAAAATGAGTTCTGTTCACAGGAATGTGTTGTTGCTTCTACAAGTATAATGCAAACCAACGAAAAATCATCGTGTCAATGAAACAAGTATAATTCGAACACCACGACGCCCTTTCGGAAGATGTCATACCGTGTATGCGCATATTTTTACCTTTCTTAAATAATGAACAGAAGGCAAAGGTCTCTCGGCCGCGAATCTGAACTGTCCCGTTTGAATATTAAATTAAATGTCATTGCCTCCGCTCCGTGATCTGATATGCAATATTAAATTCGTCGTGCAAACCGTCGAAAGACTGTCTATCAAAACAGCTCTCGTTATTCGACTTGGCTGGAAATAGTTTTCTCAATCATTCATGCAAATCGTATATTCCGATGGTGACCCTATTTCGTGAATTAGGACGAATCGATTTATACATTCCGCAGTTCCTTTCACGCATATCCCGTCTTTCCTACGAATAGAACAAAATATTACACGTATACCAACATTTTCAACGTCACCTTGAAATATTTATTTATGAATATGGATGGGGAACTTCCCGAAAAAAGGCTATAGGACAAAATGACGACTTGAATAAATTGTATCTTCTAGAGAAGTACTAGTTCTAATTTTCTAGTATCCGTTATGTTTGAATTGATAACTATGTATTAAACCGCAGATTTTTATAAAAAATTTATTAAACCGCAATTTATAAAAAATTTAAGATCTAAGAATTTTAAAAACAATATGCAGCGATATATAAAATATCCAGGATAGAATATTCATTGTAATATTTCGTAAGTGAAACATTCTTTTTGTATTTACAAAATAAATAAGATCTAATTCAACTATTTGACTGGAAAACACAGTTGAGATCTATTACATCAGATTTCATTGAAGTTTGCAAAATAATTGAGATCATCATATTGGAATATCAATCGTTTCAATATTTGGGAAATCTTTCTCGCGAGTAGTCATTAAATAATTTAAAGAATTTGAAATTACGCATACAACTTTTTAATAAAAGGGCTAAAGTTTTGACGTGATAGACTGACTAAGATAGTTAATTAATTTGCAAAGCATGATAGAATTAAATAATGCAGCTCTTATTAGACAATTTAATATTTATCATACAGATTTATTGTAAGTCTCTTTTTTAGAAAGCTTCTCGCTTGGTAAATTGAACATGAACACTTTAAATAGACGTTGAAAGACAGAGTTCATAAAAGCTGAATTTAAAAGACGTACCTGACTGATTGATTAAGAGATGTTCTGTTTCCAATTAGAACATTGTAGATTGGATTATTTGAAAATTAATTGCGAACTCTGCAGACTTGTTTTTGTAGAATTGTTGTAGGAAGTTACAATCGATGCTGCTTCCATTGAAGGTTTTAAGGAACGTTCTACGTTGTTGATTTCGTTAATTAATTCATCGATTGATGTTGTCCATTAATCAAACAATCGTTGGTTAAACGTTTCATAAAGGATTAATGAAGTTACAATCGATACTGGTGAACAGAAATATCACGAATTTGACATGTGTCAATAGAAGGTTACATATTTTATGAGGAGTCGCAGAAAATCCATTATCCTTTAAATATATTATTGCATTCTTTATGTTACATTTTCCCTTGAACTTGGTGTAATTTTAATCAATAACCATGATATAAACCTTAGATTTTAAACATTGGAATAATATTCTTCAAATATTTCCTAAATCGAAAACAACGAAAAATCTAATTCAAGTTACTTTGACCAGTAAGAATGTAATAAAAGCACATGTTTTAATTAAAATCGAAACATTTTTATTATCATATTAAAATAATATTTGTTGAATATTTCCTAAATCCTTCAGATAATAAAATATCTCAAATTTTACTATCATATAGTTTTATATAAAACTCTCTAACTACTATAATATATCTTGTATATATATTCCTATTTTTACCAGTGTTTTTGCGAAATGTGAAATATACAATTGCATAGAAGACAATTTTTCCTAAATCTTCACGTCAAACGTGCACCCTTGTTTCAACGAGTATATGTACCGTATATCGTTAATACTCATTCACTGCTAAATGTACCCCAAAGACGTACTTACATACAGTTACATGATGCTTAATCTCACGCGATGATCACACCATGGAACACATAGAAGAGAAATTATCGAGAAAGTATGAGAGAGTAGAAAAATAGGAGTATAGAGACGAACATAATTCGTGTCATCACAGGCGTGGCTTTATATAGATCAAAGAGATCGGAAGGAAGGAACGTATCAAATAGTTCAAGAAAAAATTATTTACTTCTATACTTTAAACGATGAAGTACGCATACGATAAAAGTCGATGAACGTTTAATTATGATAATGGAGTGTTCTGCTACAATTAATGAAATTTGTTGAAGATACGATACAAAAAAGAATAAAAAGATGTTTAAATGATTGAATTAAATTTAAAATAATGGAAGTGAAGGAAAAGATACAAAGGAACGATAAGAATATTTCGTTAAAAATTTCAGAAAGTGTCCATCAAATTCGAAGTTAATTTAAATATGATTTGTTGAACGACTCGTGATAAATAGATAATCATTAAATTAAATCAAATATAACATTTTCTCAAATAGTGTACAAATAAATAAATTACATAATATAAAATAAGATTTATTTTTAACATTAGAATAAAAGTGCTTATTCAAGAACTAAATTTCAGGATAACCTCAGAGGTTCATAGAACATGTATCTCAACTAAACTCGAATCTACATCCAATATTAATTCACACTTATAGAACTTCCAATACAACTACCAAGAAACTAGAGACAAAGTTCGATATTAAATCCAAAACCAATTTCCAATTAAACACATAACTTATATACGTCATCTTTGCTATTTATTTTTCAAAAAGAAAAGTCCAGATATATATCAAACTACGATATTACTAGACTATTCCAACTTGAGCGAATCATACACAAAACCCAATACACTGAAACAACTTCAGGACCGTTGAAACTCAGAGCTCTAAACCAATCGATCTAAAACTTTGTAATCATCCGAGGGATAGAAGAGAAAAGTGACCTCCAAGAGAAAAATTGTGTTAGAAAAGAGAATTCTTCACATGCAACGACACAACGAAAGCGATCACCGATCGGACGAAAGAATTTGGTGAAGGGTGCCGATTGTTCACCTCTCCTGGACTCAACGTCGATGGTGACACACTCGGCTGGCCGAGTGTCGAACTGCATGAAGATGGTGGTGAAGGCGGGGTCGATGACGAAGGGGACCAAGAAGAGGAAGGCAAAGAGGCTGAAGGTGCTGAGGAGGATGAAGAACGCGGTCGTGTAGAACAGCAGCTTCTGCAGGAACGTCTGCTTCTCCTTCTCCTCCGCCATTTCGGAGAACAAACGGCAGTGCTCGTTTCAGGGGTGCACCTAGTTGACGTCGTCGTGTTCGTCGTCGTCGTCGTCCTCGGCGTACTCGCTGCCCGTCGTCACGTTCGACGTCGATGAGGCGAAACGATCTGCGGATTCGTCTCAAATTTCACCACTTTGCTTTTGTATCGCGTTTCGAGAGATCGAGCTTTCTCTTACAGACGCTTTCTCCACGGATTGGACGGGCTTATAGATTTAGAACCGAGCTTGTTGAAAGCAAACAAGTCGAGGGTTCTTATGGTTGGTTGAATATTTTGACAGAGAGTTACTTCCAGCTGTCTTGTTGGGCACTTATATGTTCAAGAGCGAGGTTTAAGCTTATAGAATCTCTAAGATAGATTTAATTTTTTTTCTAAGATAAGATTTCCCTTCATCGTATTGGATAATAATTAGTAAAAAATAGTCAAGGTAGCCATCAAGTTTCAGGATAGTCTGCTTCGTTTGAGTAATCTCTCAGATATTGCTGTTTCATCTTGATCTAATTCCGGAATTCTGTTGCAGCTTTAAACATCATTGAGTATCATGAAGTTTGAACGTTTGAATGAAGCTATTTATAATATACTATATATAATACATCTATAGAATTTCTTGAGTTATGGCAGATTGTAAATAGCTAATCACTTTATCATTTTCTTATTTAATGGATGTTAAGGTATAATATTTGACAGCAAGGTCAGAGTTTTAGATAAAGGTTCCCCGAAATCTTTTAGACTTTCTATTCTCAAATTGGATTTAAGAAAGCCCAAGAGACACAACGAGGATCCTAAAGTAATGTCTGTTGTGACTTTACGTTCTGTCAACGCACAAGTTTGCTCCTATATTTGTGGTATCGATGTCGACGAAGTTTCAAGGAAACGGAGTTTTCTACACCGAGATTCAATAAATCTCCCCGAAAGCTATGCGATTCTTGGAACAGTATCGATTTCGTTCTCAGGATCTTGTGATCCGTTTTAACCGCATATACTAACATTTGGAAGCACAATGTTTCCATTCTAGATATTCCTAACAGAAGTTATGCAAATCGAAAAAGAATATCCAGCAATGACAGCAATTGAAAATATTAATTTCATTTATCCACGAGCTTTATATGTAAAAACATGCCACAGATGATTTTCGAGGCTTCAAGAGGAATAGTTTTATTGACAAATTTTAATAAAATTTTAAAGCACACAGATTTTTAAAACTTTAGAAGTTGTAGGTAAAAATGTTGGTTCCTAAATTTTACTAGTTTCTAAAACAAAGAAAAATACGTTGATAATTAAGCTACTTTCACAATGCTTTTGAGTAATTTTATGTAAAAATCTTGGTAGAAAACCAGAGAAATTCACGGGGCAACGTAATAAAAAGCAATGAAATGTAAATACACATTGAAATGCGTTTTTGAAATGAAGCTTTTCAATATTTACGGTCATTTCTTTAGCGACAAAGCAATATCTTGGTCTTTATTATCTTGTAAATAAGACGAAGCCTTAGCTATTCGGATCTTGAACTATCGTTCACGATGCCTTCCATTCATTTATCCAAGAGGCACGTGCCAATTTCATAGCATTACGCGTAAGATATTTCCATGACAATGAACCAACAATGCGATACGCGAGCTACGAACTTTCCATTCACGTCTTCCTGTAATTGAGTCGACGAATAATTCTATTTGGATCCATCTGCGCTCGAAACTTTTACGGTATTTCATCTACGAAGCATTGCTTTGACTTTTTGGGAAAGTTTGCTTCGCGTAGACAGAGTTCAACCGAGCTTTACCGCTCTTTGAGCGACCGAATTACACTGGGAAAACTATCGCGTCATACCAGGAAAAAAATATTTCGTGATCCGATTGTTTGAACTTTCTGCTAGTACAAAACGTAAAAGTAAATATGCGGATTGTACTGTTTGATTTTAAGCTTAAATTTGAGAGCTGTAGTTTACATTTATCAAGAAAGTGTTACATATCACTCGAAAAAACGATGCATATAATATTTTTACAATAATATATTAACTCCGAATTTGCCTTAAATTTCCCTATTTTTCCAATAAACCTATATTTTTCGATAACTCACGCTAAATAAATTTCTTCAAAGGAAAGATAAAACTTTTTATCAAGGTCTTCGACTTGACACAAACATAGAAATAAAGTAGTCGATATGATTTACACTTTAATAAGTCGCTCCTAACGTAAGAAACTTTTTCTGCGAAATTTTTTGTATAAAAAAGGAAGCGAGTCAGATTTCGCGCTCTCGTGTTCCGTAAATTATGGAACACTGGTGGCTATTTATTGGATTTTAAGCATTTCGCCTATCACTAAACTCAGTGGCGGGCGTAGCCTGCCCTTGAAGCTTTCGATAAACGCCCATGTCGCGCAAGCTCCTTTTAATAAATCTGAGGAAACGAAAATAACTAAACGCACGATCGTGCATTCTCTTCTCCCCATCCTTTCTTTTTACTTGTCTCTACAAGACTGGTAACGGAACTTTAACTACACTCGACGCTTCCGCGCACTTTAGGCCGCAAACTACGGATTTGTTTTATTGGATTGCCCCGATTCACGGAGCGCCAGTATTATAGAGATAAAACTTAGCGCCGAGCTTTGTGTGGCATAGTGTCTTCCGCCGTGTAGTTTCTGGCACCATCCGTTTTTCCCGCAATTAAATAGGATAAGTATTATCTCGACTTTTACGTTAATCGTTATTTAAAAACTAAGATTGTGATGACAAAGAATGATGACGAATGATAACAAGGTTTTGAAGGAACGATTAAAATAAAGTAGCGAAGAGTAATTGATTGATTAGTAGATAAACGAAAGCCAGGATGAATCTTTTTACTTGCAAAATGCAAAATTTCAAGTTGTTGCAATTTTTTGAGTTCATTAGATTGACTTGTTTAGTACTTACGTACTCCTGATCTGCCATGGAAGAGTTTGTTTTTTAAGCCTTGAATACACGATTTGTTTGCTTCCTCGCTAAATGACAATTTATCACTTACACCTTTTACTAATTTTAGTCGCCTATATAAACCTTTTAAAAAATGTCTAAACCCTTCTTGCATTGCGCAGAAATAAAAACGAGGTCTCTATGTTGTTGCACGTAGAAAAGGAATATAGAAAAATCTTACGTTAGAAAAAAGAGCAGGTTCATGATTTTGTAAATCGCATTTTCCCTCCTTTGGTGTGCATTTTAGGCCCGGAATACAAAGAAACTAGATTTTACGGCCACAAAGTGCTCTGTGTTCCTTTATTGACTTGACGAGTCTCGTGCCGACAAGTTACGTCAGAGAAAGCTTAAGCTAGACACAGAGAAAGCTCAAAGGAGTGTTTTGTGTAAAATCATCTTCATCGGTCCTTTGTAATTTTACATTTTTGCTCATTTTTATATCACCTTGCAAGTGAAGAAGACAATTTCAGCCTATATTTATATCTCCTACAATTTTTTACCCGCTACACTTATTACGCAGACGCGTCATTATTCTAATGTTCCGTTGACACTGAAACTCAAGTATCAATCAAGTATCAACAATTTAGCAACACCTTTTCTGAATACGATTTAAACGATAAAAACAGCTTTTACGGTGAACAAGATCCTATTCATCACCCAAACGTACGCACTTATTACTTTATTCAAACTATAATTCAATTTTAATTTCTTTCTCGAAATACGAAAGCATCAATTAAAATGTAATACCGAAACACTTTATAGTCTTTCTTCTTTCAACGTTTCCAAATTTCTGTTTAAAGTATCAAAAATATTGGATTTAAAAAGCTCTTCATTTTCAACTTATGGAGGAGTCGTTTCTATAAATTTTGAAATCTATGGTGTGATTCGGAGCAGTTCGAATTACGACAAGCTCGTTCTCCGCCCCGAATGATCAAATTGTCCCGCTGCAACCCCTTCACGACAAAGGGGCGAGCCGTGTAAGAGGGTGGAGAGGGAGAACGCTTTGCATTTACAGAGCCACTTGACGTAAATCAACACGCTCCGCATTAAGTGTCCACGTTGATTACGTGGCCGCGTCCGTACGAAAGGAAGTATCCAATCTACAAGAAGCTGCGCCAGTGCCTGCAAATGGAAGCAGCCAGGCCTGCCTCGTTAACCAGCAATTAGTATATGCTTGGGTGTGCTTTTAAATTCGCGATTTCGTCCTCGTCCGCGTATCAGCATGCCCCTCGGTTGGCCTTTCTCAATGGAGGATCTCGAGAATCCTTTTCAATGATGGAAGAAACGTAATTGAAAGTGTACTAGAGATTCGACTCTCTTGATTTCCATGAAAAATATCGGACTCGTATATTTCTGAGTACATTTGAAGAAGCTACGAATGAAAACAATTTCGCAATGTTTTTTTCAGTCGACCAGGTTCACCCTTTTCACGTGCTACCGGGGATCCTCTCTAGGGAGATTCTACCAACATTCACTCGATGGTTCCTATCGTTCGAAACTGGGCCAACCGAGTTCTTAAAGAAATCACGTCTTTTCATTTTTATTAAAAGTTTCTATTGTAGATGCTTATGTCACTTGTAAGAATAAATGAGATAATACGACACTATACGAATTGTAACAAAGAAACGGAAGAAGACACTTTAGAATTATAGAACGTGGAGTAATAACCGAGTCTCGGTCTGAATCGCGACTACCACCCCCTGACCCATCCATTCGTGAGGCAGCTCCTGAAGGCGCGTCCTACCCGTGTGTGAAAAAGCTCACAGACTCAGACGACTCAACTTAAGAGAAAGCTCGATTGTTTCCGCGACGAAAGGAAGGGAACGGTACCCCCTATGAAGAAGAAGAGAAATCGTCGGGGCTCTGCGCCCTCTTCCTGTGCCCCCGCATCCTGTCCCACCTCCTCCTCTTCCCGCGTTCTTTGCTCACTGGCCTTTTCCTCCCTCCCCGTCGCTCTTCGTCGCCTACTTCGCGGCACTATGTCACACTGTCCACTCCCGTGTACATTTGTCGCGCGATCTCGCGAACCACCGCGCCTCGATCGAACCAAGAACCCGCTGTTTCCGTCGAAGCACAGCGAGGTCAGGTAACCAGTGAGAACTCTGACTAATAATTTTCAGTCCACTAATCGTGGCTGCCACCTCATGGTCGCCGTTCTTTTATTTCTTCTTTTCTTTTCTTCCTGTTCTTTTTTATTTCCTCTCGTTCCCTTCTCGTTTCTGTTTTATCGTACGATTTCGATGGTCGACACGAAATGTTCCGTCGATCGTCTCGTATCTCTAGGTTAACCTCGAGCTGCCATTCGAGTTTCCATCGGCGAGGCTCACACGACACGGTGGAATATGATATAACCGCGGGAAATTTTCGTCCTGGCCGCGGCGCCGACGGATGCCGGGCTACTGCAGTCGGTAGAGCTTTTGGGCGAGCTTATTTTCGAGCGATGCTAGCGCCACAGTGGCATCTGGTGGCATCGACCGTCGCCACCGCCGCCACCACCGCCGACGCCGCCAACCGACGCTCAACATCGACACCAGGGCGTCCCCTGACTGGGTTTCGCTTCATCTTCTACGCCTTCCTGCTTCTTGTTTCACGACCTTGCGCTTTCAGTCCTTCTTTCTCTCGTTCCTCCTTTCCTTTGCATTTACACGTATACCTTTTTTCTTAGCATATCTGCGTGTATATACGCTTTTAGCATTGACAGATATGGAATATTCGTAGTGGTTATTTCTGAATCGTTTCTACACGAGCTACTATTTTTACGATCATGATTTAATTAGATATGGTTCTTTTGCGATATAATTCCACACAGCAGTTGTATAATATAAACAGGCATTTAAAAAGTTAAATTATCTTTTTCCTTTCCAAAGAAACCGATTGACATATGTATTTCCAGCAGCATTTTATAAGTTTATATCAATTATATAAGATGCGAATTATTCATTATAGATAGACATGTAGTTAAATACAGTAATCTAGACATATCTCCTGCTTTAATTTAAAAGCAGAGTATTTAGTCCGAGTTATGGGAAAAACATAAATATTTCGATTAAATTGCGTGAGGCATTCAAACACTTATAGACAATATTGTAGAAGTACATAATATTGTTACGAGCCCTTTACATAATTTAATTATATGTTTTCATTTCCCTAACAAAGTTGTTTAGGTTAAAAACAGAAAAGTGAAAGCAGAAAACTCATCGAAGACCTGATTGTATCGATCGGACGACGTTATTCGAGAAGAGGAAGAGGATCGTAATAAGATTCTGGTTGAAATTAACGAAACGTATTTTTCGTAACACTCGACCGGAAATACTTGACGAAACTGGTTTACCAAGTTTCGCGATTTCATGGAAGCATCCGAGTGATTTAGCTCTGACTCTCCGCGATTTTCCTTGCAATAATTCGGAATGATTCATTTCACGACGGTGGTATTTATTCTCGTAACAAACACTCGTTTTTTCTGGCGAACTTAGGAGGTCGACAGATTTGTGCAATTTCGGTTGTTACCATTTATATCAAATATCGTTTTGGTAACAGACCAGGTTGGTTTGCGATAACGTTTTACATATTGGAAATTAGCCAGGGAATTTTAATAGATGTCTGACATTTAAGGTCGAATTACAATGTGTTTATCGATAGCCGGGCATTGATGCTTCTCAATTTACATAATACTACTGCAGAGATTAGAGTGAAGTGTCAGTGGAAACTTATGGGATTGAATACAGCCGAAAGATTACTGTTTTTACGCCAGAAAAAGGATTAAAAGGATTAAAATTAAATATAATGGCCAATATACAGGGTGGTTGGTAACTGGTGGTACAAGCGGAAAGGGGGTGATTCTACGCGAAAAAAGAAGTCGAAAATATAGGATAACAATTTTTCGTTTGAGGCTTTGTTTTCGAGAAAATCGACTTTGAATTTTCGCTCGGTACGCGTGCACTTTATCACGTCTCGTTATAACGGATCTCACTGTAGATCGTTGTCTCGATGGAAAAATTAAAAAAAGAAAATTTTTATTCTATATTTTCGACTTCTTTTTTGCACCACCAATTATCAACCACCCCGTATACAGCTTTACGTCGTACGTGAAGTTATTTATAGCTTTTAATACAACATTTATGGAATTTTTGCTACATGACGTTTTAGTTTTAGTTTTATTTTTATCTATAGAATACACTGACGCAGTTCGGACATTAAATTCTTCAGGACCAAATTTTTATTAATTCGTAAAGGAAGTTAATTTTCTTCAACATCGTGTTAACGCGACACTTCATTCGCTTCTGAATTCTGCTTTTCAATATTATAGTTGTGGAGGGATGTTATCAAATGTAATTTTACACGTTGATTTTTAACGAGTAGAGTTTCAAGCAAAATTAATCCATTAGTCCATTAATCAAGAAAAGATAAACGAGGAAAGTTAACACCCTGTTTAGTGGGAATGCCACAAATTGTGCAAATCGATCTCGACGTAAACGCATATTTTATGGCCACGTAATTTGATTTACCAATGCATTGTTTATTATCACGGGGTCTTATTGCGTTTGATTCTTTAAATAAATGTACAGTTCCCACGTTACGAATTTCACATTCTAATTCGAATTACACTTGATATTAGTGACTTGCGTAATTACGCATGTATTTCGTTACTGAGTGCTATTATCGGCTATGGTTTGGGTTACGCAACTGCACCTCGTACAATTTCCCTCGTATACAGAAAAGGATAATTGCCGGACCATGCAACTTCGTTCGTTACGTAAAATGATTAATTATCGTCTTGAAAAATATCTTGGATGGTAAATTACACTCGTAAATTCAACTAATTGTGTCGCGAAAAATTTTATTTCTATTCTTTTTTAAGTTTCAAGAGTTCTATATACTTTCTATTTTTTCCATAATATGGGATTCAAAAGTATGTTTGTTATATTGTACTTTGGAGCATTGTTAGCCTAGAACAGCTTTTAAACTTTTATTTCAAGTAATAATTACAAATAAAAGTAAATTATATTTCATATAAGTCTATTCCTCGAATTTTTCAATTTGGTTGTCAGTTGGAGATGTTTTAAATATAAGATAATAAAATTTAAGAATTTAATCAAGTAATTCTGTAATATCAAACGTCGATTAATAAAAGAGAAAAGAAAAAAAGGATCTCTTGAAAATACAATTTAGTAATGAGACAAGTTTTTATCCTCGGATTAAGACGAGTCGCAAGAAATTGCGAGAAGGTAAGTTCTCCAAGATCGTGTATGCACCCTCCAGGGTTTCCCTAATGACCTAATGCTGATGCAGCCGTGGAGCCTTGGAACCGAAACCAATAAGAACCGGTCTACCATGAGTTTGGAACAATTGTAAATCGTTGTAACGAAGTTAGCCAGTGCAGCGATGTTCGAGACGAGCTTGAGAAATTAGTTTGTCCGGCAGGGTAAATCGATCCTCTTCGCCAGGAATGCCGTTTCATTTATGAAACCTAGCTCTACGTGGATTCGTCGTATTAATCTGTCTATCTGTGGTGAGCACGATGAACCTCAGAAGATTTGACTGATTCGAAAACTGAATCCGACTGTTGAATTAAAATATAAGGAGAAAATAGGAAACATCGTCCTACATAACATTTACTAATAAAATGGCTAATGTTTCTCATTTTTATAATAATACAAGATAGCATTTCGTATCTGATTTTGCTCTAATATTTTATATGACATTGTAATATTTTTATTTTAAATGACCAATTCGGAAAAAAGCAATAATTTTTTGTTCGCTTTTTCTCCACCTTCCCAACCTTACGTTGCTTATACCTTACGGTAGCTATATTTTGAAATATAGCTAAATCCATAGAATTTTATCTCTAATAGGTTAAAGTATTAAAACTTGATCTCCTCAAGTGCAGAAAAGGTAATTGTCCCCTGACCTTAATTACTTCGCTAAAGCTAAAGTAAACTTGTAGATAGCGCAAAAACGCATACGTATCGTGGTACGAAAAATTTCTAGAGATTAACAATTTTGCCCTGTTCCAAATTCGAGGATTATTCCATGCGGTCAAACGTGGTCAGTTCGTAACACGCAAATCGTATTGAGCCAGCATATGCGTTTCGATGTCTGTTTCCGTCTACCGATGAACAGTTCGTTGATTATCGCATTTGCTTATTCTAGCTATTGTCACTCAACGTCAATTCCATTAAGGGAGATGACACCATCTCCAAGTTATTACGATTATCACGATGTCTGCGTTCCGTTACACCTGCGTTTCGTGGTATTCCCGCGGAACTAGTTAAAACTGGGACGACTCTGTCACGAGGTTTTTACCAAACGCCTTCCCTTGTCGTTGTCATAATTTATGGGACCGAATATTTCATGTCATGAAACTGCTATGAAAGTTCTCCTTTCTGTTCCATGATATTAGTGCTTTGCTCTAATTATCGAGCTTATATTTTGTGTTGGGGCAAAAAGGTTTGTTTTCTTTTCGCGTATTCAAAATAGCGTAATACTTTTATTTAGAGGATGTATAAGAATGGCATTTAGAGGATCTCCCCTTACATCCTATTTCTTTACTTAGGTTCATAAAAGTACGAATTTACATAAACATCCGTAGTCTAACAATACCGAAGTTAATCTCACAGCATAAAAATAATGAAAACAATAAAGATATTTGATAACAAAAGAAACATATAAATATGTATCTGACCCTGTTTTCGGGTCATAACAGTTTGTCCAATATATATGTCAGCTACTTTAGATCTTAAAAGTAAACCGCGTTAGAAACGTTTCTACACGTATTATTCTTATCAAACGAACAGATCTAATATTTCCGAACGTCACTAGCAATTTCCGACAAGATGTTCGTAACATTATCACGTACGAGCATATTATTGAATCTCGATCATTGTCGATTTAGATAGGAAAATTGAACCCATTATTTTGATCAATAATAATTATCGAGTAATTATATAAGTTTCGTTTCGTGGCTGGCATTCCGACATTCTTGTTTCGTGTTGCTCGGTGATAATTCCTTGTTCGAAGAAGAGCCTTCTATTCGTTGCTCGTTAGCACTCGAATATCAAGTATGTAAGCGTTTAGCCTCTAACAACAGGCCATACACATGGATCGATCAAAACAAGCCCACAGGACGTTGCACTTTGAACAATGTCGTAACGAACCTTCTCTCCCCTGGTGAACTGCTTCGCCTCGCCGTATTGGAAGTGGAGTGCGCTCCAAGTATGCTCGAACCAGCTAGGTTTGTTTCTTTATTGATACAGACCGCACGGCGGATACTCTTATCCTCTTGATGATATGGAATATCGTTACGACGACACACTTTTCACTCTATTGCTTCTTTTTCTTTCTTTCTTTTTAATACTTTACACAATCACGAATCGATGTTGCCGACGTTTCATCCTTGTCAGTTTCCTCGACGATACGAATCCATTCATGCAATTCCTGATTGTTGTTTATTTTCTATTACCGATGGG